TGTGTGTGTGTGTGTGTGTGTGTGTGTGTGTGTGCGTGTGTGTGCGTGTGTGCGTGCGTGCGTGTGTCAGTGCGTGACTTCAGGGTGTGTGTTCGGAGGACGGAGGCGTCTGAGCGCTGCAGACTGAAAGGAGACGTGTTGCTGCGAGCGGACGTAGACGCTCTTCACCTGCTGGACAAGAGCGGAGACGTCGTGTTCACCTGGCCGTACAGATACCTGAGGCGCTTCGGACGAGACAAGGTGACACACACACACACACACACACACACACACACACACACACACACACACACACACACACACACACACACACACACACACACACCCTCCCTCTGACCTGTTTCCTGTCTTCAGTCCACCTTCTCCTTCGAGGCGGGGCGGAGGTGTGAGTCTGGCGAGGGGAGTTTTGAGTTCGACACCAAACAGGGGAACTTCCTGTTTCAGGCCGTGGAGGCGGCCATCAACCTGCAGAGGATCTCCCTCCCCCACAGGCAGACCTCCGGGGGGGGGCTGGCAAGTCCAGACATCCCCCAGGCCCTGAACCTGCCCCCGCTGCCTCTCAACACGCCGCTGGCCCACAGCAGGACGCCACCGCCGCCTCAGCCCCGAGGCCATATCCCACAACCCCCTTCTGCTCAGGTCAGCTGACATTACAGGTCATCTGTACTTGGTTTCAAAATAAAAGCAGGGCAGACAGAATGCAGTCGACAGTTTCAGAATAAAGTTTCGAACATAAAGGCAGAACTTTCAGAATAAAAGCAGGATTGTCAGAATAAACGATTTAAAAACAAATGAAGATTCGAAGGTTTCTCATTGGTCAGTTTCTTGTTGGCTGTGATGAGCTGTCAGAAACCAGCTGATGCCCAGATATGATGTTGTAGCTGATCAGCTGTTTCCTGTGCGCAGGCAGCTGACGGGGTGTACAGCATGGTGACCGAACATCACAAAGACAAAGAGAGCTCCACCCCCTCACAGCAACAACAACTACAACCACAGCGCCCCCCGCTGGTAGGACTCAGCTTTTCTACTGTACTGCAGAGGTTCTCGGTTCTCTGAGGGGAACCCAGTTCTGGTTCTGAAGTGTTTGTGACTCCAGCACGTCTCTGTTAGCAGCTGTTTGAGTCTGCAGGGACTGTATGTGGAAGTGTGCGGGTGCGTTTGTTTGTCTCACCTCGTCTGTCAGGTTTAGTCTGGACCGAACCCTCTGAGGTCAAAGGTACTTGCATGTGACATCATACCCATGTGTTTTACATCACAGTTTTCAGAACGATCTCAGATCTTTCTTAATGAGCGCTGTGTAAACAGGTGATCAACAGGTCATCAGGTCCTTTGATCCAAATGCTGAAAATTTGAAGCCTGTTTTTTTTAAATTCTTCAAACCTTGACTGATGTGGAGGAATTGAAACGTGTTCACCAAAGTCTTAGGTTCAATAAAATAATGCAACATGTGAGTAAATAGTAATTAAATGTGTAATAAATGCCGAGTGATTGATTTCATTCATCAGGATCCTCGTTATCTTCATCAGGACAGAGGCTCCTCCTCCTAAACAGGCTCAGCTCACTAACACAAACAAATAAACAACATAAACACTCAGACATCATTTTATATTTTACTATAATGATAAACAGTCAGTTACTGCGGCATTAACACGTGATGATGTCATAGCTGATACCTGGGTTTGGTTATTATTTATATATAGTATAATGTAGTTTAGTTTAGTATAGTTATATAGTTTCCTGGTTGGTCAGACCACAGCTCCATCTGCTGGACGCTGTCAGCTGTTACAGTGATGGTGAACACAGGGACTGATATGACTGATAAAGGTTATTGATCACTGATCGCTCTCCTGTTGTGTTTTCAGTCTCGTCTGGAGCCTCCAGTCGACAAAGCTCTGACCGGAGTGAAGAGTCTGACCCTGGACACCCGCGGCGTCCCCGCCCCCCGCAAGAACCAGGTCAAGATGATCTCCAGCTGCCCTCTGCCCCACGCCGAACCCGGCCCCAACCCGGCCCCGGGCCCCGGCTCCGCCCCCACCCACAACTCCCGCCTCAGCCCCAAACTGAGCTCCAACCAAATGTACTCCCAGATCACGCTGCCGGGGAGTGGCGAGCGAGGCACCCTGAGGGAGAGGAGGGAGAGAGGGAACAGCCTGGCTCCCCCCTGCACCCCTCCTCAGATCACCCCCCCGGAGCCGGAGTACTCCCTCCCCTTTGATACCATCAATAAGAACATGATGGCGGACATCCTGAGCTCGCATCCTGCCCGAGGCTGTGAGTCCAGTGGCGACCCGCTCTACGACAGCATCGACGAGATGAAGATCAGAAACGTCTTCCTGAGCGACGCCGACGCCCTCGGACCAACGTACGGGAAGGTGGAGCACATCTACGACGAGCCTGAAGGCTGCGCCGCCACCGCCGGCGCCTCTGGAGGGCAGAAGTCCACCGGCCCCCCCTCAGTGTACGACGACCCCGAGGAAATGAGAGGAGACGCCTGGAGGATCATGGGTACGGCCGCTGACCCCAAAGGTCACGAGTACCCATACAACCCCCGGGTGGACGACTACGCCGTGCCCAAACGACCCCAGAGGGCGATCCACGTCACCAATGAAGAAGAAGAAGAAGACAACGAGGAGCAGCAGCAGGAGGAAGAGGAGGAGGAGGAGGAGGAAGAGGAGGAGCGGAGGGATTCACCGTACAACAACGTCATGGTGAAGATGATGTAACGACAGCACATGACTGATCAATATTTAATCAATAATCAATGATGGAGGTTCAGACTCTGTCATGAAGCATCGGTCGATTTCAGAGCTGCAAACATTTAATCTGTCACTTCAAATTTCATTATTCAGAACTTTTCTCTTTTCATCTTTTTTAAACTTCTCAACTTTGAAAATGAAGGAAACGATCGAGACTTCAGAATAAGAGTCAAATATGAACCAGACACAGTCTGCTGGTCCCACTGGGAACACTGGGAACACTGGGAACACTGGAACACTGGTCCCACTGGGAACACTGGGAACACTGGGAACACTGGAACACTGGTCCCACTGGGAACACTGGGAACACTGGGAACACTGGAACACTGGTCCCACTGGGAACACTGGGAACAGTGGAACACTGGTCCCACTGGGAACACTGGAACACTGGGAACACTGGGAACACTGGAACACTGGTCCCACTGGGAACACTGGAACACTGGTCCCACTGGGAACACTGGGAACAGTGGACACTGGGAACACTGGTCCCACTGGGAACACTGGGAACAGTGGAACACTGGTCCCACTGGGAACACTGGAACACTGGGAACACTGGCAACACTGGAACACTGGTCCCACTGGGAACACTGGAACACTGGTCCCACTGGGAACACTGGGAACAGTGGACACTGGGAACACTGGTCCCACTGGGAACACTGGGAACAGTGGAACACTGGTCCCACTGGGAACACTGGTCCCACTGGGAACACTGGGAACAGTGGACACTGGGAACACTGGAACACTGGTCCCACTGGGAACACTGGAACACTGGGAACACTGGTCCCACTGGGAACACTGGGAACACTGGAACACTGGGAACACTGGGAACACTGGGAACACTGGGAACACTGGGAACACTGGGAACACTGGGAACACTGGGAACACTGGGAACACTGGGAACACTGGGAACACTGGGAACACTGGGAACACTGGGAACACTGGGAACACTGGGAACACTGGGAACACTGGGAACACTGGGAACACTGGGAACACTGGGAACACTGGGAACACTGGGAACACTGGGAACACTGGGAACACTGGGAACACTGGGAACACTGGGAACACTGGGAACACTGGGAACACTGGGAACACTGGGAACACTGGGAACACTGGGAACACTGGGAACACTGGGAACATGAAGCTGCTGGTTGTGTTTCCAGTATTGATGTGTCAGGTCTGGTGTGTGAACAGGTGTGTGAACAGGTGTGTACCAGGTGTGAACAGGTGTGTGAACAGGTGTGTACCAGGTGTGAACAGGTGTGTGAACAGGTGTGTGAACAGGTGTGTGAACAGGTGTGTACCAGGTGTGAACAGGTGTGTGAACAGGTGTGTGAACAGGTGTGTACCAGGTGTGAACAGGTGTGTGAACAGGTGTGTGAACAGGTGTGTACCAGTGTGTGAACAGGTGTGTACCAGGTGTGAATTGAACCTGTGTTCGACTTTCCTGTTTCCACCGGTGACGTTCATTCAGACTCAAACCTGCTCACAGTTTGTCACAGGGAGGTTTGATTGAGTTGATTTTTGTGATCATCATTGATCATCATTGATCATCTCATGATGCAGCAGACACCTGAGACTCTCCCTGCTGATGCATTCAGGGACAATCCAACATCTGAGGTTTGATACAAAACTTTTCACACAGCAGCCATGTTGGTCGACCTCGACTCAGCACAAAAACAAGAACAGCAAAGACATAAAATCACAGTGTCAATAAAAGGAGAAAAGACGGAAGAAGACAAATATAAAGGTCACTTGATTGTTTTTTTGTCTGATTTTCTGAGAGTCCCCTGAAGGCTCCATGACAGCCAATGTAAAGTTCTCAGATGTCCGAGTGTCTGTAAATGCACCACATGGACAGAGTTGAAACTTTTATTTTCATGTCAGAATGTTGGAGGTCATTTGATGGATGTGACCTCAGATCCAGCAGGGGGCAGCAGAGCTCACAACATCTGGTTATCACTGATGTTCATCAACTGTCAACATCTGCATCATCTTCTTCTTCATCAGATCAAACTGAACTGTGACTTCAGGCGCAAACATCAGTGTGAGATCAAACCTTTAACATCCTCTGAGTGTGTGTGGTGCATTCAGGGTGTGTGTTGTTTCCTCTCTGAGTGTTTGTGGTGCGTTCAGGGTGTGTACAGATGTTTGTGAAGAAGCAGCCTGTCAGTCTGAATTAAATCCTCATTTATTTTATTTTTACTTTATTTTTTTTATCTCATTATCTGAACTTCAGTTTTATTTCACTGATGTGCAGAGTGATGTCAGAGGCTTTACTGCTGTCGGTCAGCAGGGGGCGCTGCTGTCTGCTGATGAAGTATCTGCAGACTGGAGCAGTGAGGACGAAGTGTTTCTCCACCTGTGAAGCTGTAAACTCTTCATCTGTAACTTCTGCCTCTCAGTCATTTTCTTTTCAAATGTTTTATTATTCAAAAGATTTTCATCTGGATAAAATGTTTAAATATTGAAAATATGAGAATCATAACTTAGTAAATTATGAACAATAAAAATAAATGCAAAGGGAATTAAACGCGACATATATAAAAAAGGGTGATGAAAAAAAGAAAAGTATTTTAAAAGGACAAAAACAAACTATTAACTTATTTCAAATGTTTTATTGAGCAAAAGGAAATCGTACATGAATTGTACCAGTGCTCGTTTTCATATAGAAAAGGGTCATAAAACATTTATATGTACATGTTATAAACAACAACACATTTATAAAAATATGATATGACGGTGTAAGGACTGTCCACGGTGAACAAGTGAAAGAAAAAGAAAATAAAGAAATAAAACACAAATAAATCAGAACTCAAATAATTCAGTATTTCCAAGAAGTGAAACTTGATCAAAATAAATGTGTCATTCATTTTACATGAGCAGATAGAAATCTCCTCAAGGTTTGACTTCTGTTCATGGGACAATCATATGTGGCAGAAATATTCCCCAGAATGAAACGGATGTCCTTAAACTTTCAACCAAAATCATGAGTTTTACTTTTCAAGATTCTACCATCAAATTTCCCGCTCAAAATGGAGGGTCCTGCAGATTTATTACTTCCATAACGCATCCAAATATTATCACCTCGTTGGTTCTTCCAGAAATTATAATCCGATATTAACGCGTGTCTCTTGTAAAAAGTAAAAATCCGCCTTAAATTTCTTACAAAATAAAGAAATAGCATTTCTTTCTCCAGATCTCTGATGTCTGACATTCAAGGAACAAACTGATAGAGACAAGTTCTCAACAGTTGAACTTACCTCAGCATATCGAAACTGTTCACATGCATCGGCTTCGTCTCTCTACACTATAACAGTGGTTCCCCACCTGTGGGCCGGGTCCCGCTGCTGGGCCGCAGAGGTACTACAAGTGGAACAACTATCATTTCGGTGAAAAGATGAAATTTTAAAATATAAATAATGTTTTTGAATGTTTTTGAAAATGAATTTTCTTTAAAAACATTGAAGTGCTTGTTTCCTGTCGGTTCGAATCACTGCTCAGACAAAAGACACGACGTAGCGCGGGATCATGGGAGTTGTTGTCCTTCAGTGTCGGTGGGTCAGGAGGTTTTGACCAGCAGCTGAATTCTCCACAGAGGTGTCTTCCTGTCCCCAGACAGACCAGCTGATCCAAACCAGTAACAACTCTGATGAAACTAATTCACCTTTAAAGCTGCTGTTACACCTCACACCCTCAGGCAGGCTGCACCCAGTCCTGGATCAGGTCTACAGGACCTGGATCAGCTCTCCTGTAGACCTGATCCAGGTCCTGTAGACCAGGTCTCCAGGTCTACAGCTCCACTGTGTTTCAAGCTGCTACAGAAACGACGTCTGACATCATACTGATGATGTTTGTTGTTGTTTGTTGTTGTTGACAGGAAGAGGTCGACCATGTTTATTTCATGAACATCTGTAAGTCTTTGTTCTGTGTGTTAATGGATGGGCCATACACACACACACACACACACACACACAGTCATAATTAAACAGAGTAGAGATGGCTCTTTATTCATTATAGATACAGAAACCATTAAGAACCGACCAATCAGAGGCCGTAACTAACTCCATTCAACCAATCAGGCGTTAACAGCTGAGGCCTGGTTCAACAAAGCCAGGATCCTGAAATATATGTTCATATAAGTAAAATCATATACGTACATATATGTATATGCAGCCTATGTTTGTACAAATTAAGTAAGAAATTGGAACAATTTGATACAAACATGTATGTCTGTATTGTTTTATATTTTACATGTTACATAAATATATCCATCACAAGCCTGTCGGTATATGTTGATATTATATATGGAAGTATAAAGGTTTTGTTTAAAATGAATGAGAAATTAATTTTAAAATATCATATATAAACATATGGAATTAAACTTAATGTTACTTATTTAGGAATAAGTTAAGCTTAGATTTTACTCTGGGTTTTTACTGTATGTTAGAAACTTGTATCTTCATATATCAGAGAGCTGACAGATGTATATATGTGATAATAATTGATCCCCTTACAGGGACATATATGTCATTTTTTACATTTCTGTATGGATTCACTGCAACAACATTAAACCTCCTGTCACTGGCTTCGAGAAAACATTTTAAATATTGTTTAAGATCATTTTGTTCGTTGTATGTATATGTATCTATCATTCTGATTTGTCGGCCATCTAAGTCTCCTAACATGACTATTAACACATTGTTTGTGAAGAACATGTCAGTTCTTTGTATTAATCTTGAAAGTGATTGGAAATGTCAGTGTTTGTCTCATCAACAATATTTTTAATCCAGATATCATTAAATAATGTTTTATTTTTTAATCTACTATTTTTATTGTTCCACATTAAACATGAGTTTATAAATAAATAACCAGGACATTAATGTT